TGATCGTGATGAAAACTTGGAAAGAATAGTCTCCAACTTCATGTCTCAAGTTACTGCTTTGCCCTTAGAGTAAACCATTTGTAAGGAAATAACCTATGTAGAGTGTTTGTGAAATTAACCTTTCTACTGTGTTTAGCAGAAGAGTTATGTCTCCTTATCCATATCAGTGGAGACAGGTTTATTTTGCTACTATTCTTATTTCTTGTACCATATATGGCAATGAAATTTAAAACTACTCGAACTCAAAATTTCCTCTTAAGCAAATTATTCCTTTTAATTCTGCTTTGGGGTAGTTGAGTCACAGAAAAGAATGACAATGGAACGTATAAAAGACCTTTAAAAGTAGTTAGGATTATATAAAAGTCTTGCTCATACAAAACGTCACAACGTAATTCCAGGACAGGCACCTTAAACACATTCTTTAATTAGTTAGAACTGGCAAAACTTCATTTGAGCTTATTACATCAATAAAGAATTTAATACATTTGTGCATCTGAGTCTTCAAATTTCAACAACTAGCAATATCAATGAAATACAATATTCAGCAAGTGATTGCACACTAATATAAGTTATACTGCTCAAGTTTGTTTACATTTCAATTGAGCTTCTATAATCTGGTTTGGATTGGATTTTAACCAGTTAAGTCGAACTCAAACGAGCTTTTGTCAAGTCACATGACTCGAGCATGAGTAGCTTAATTCGCACGAGCTTTAATCAAGTCACATGAGTGAAGCTTGAGTTAGTTGCAAATACTTTACTCGTCTGTTAATAGAGTTGAGCTCGACATCATGATCTTATCTAATGCTAAAATACGTGCAAGTTTGGCTCGCTATGTGTATAACCGAACCCAAACAATCTTTTAATGATTAAACTTGAGTCGGTTTAATTCTTTCTTAACATTTTTAACTCTATTTTACAACCTAACCTTTCTCTAATTCAGAAACTTCAAGTTCATCTACTGCTTTTTTCATGCATGGTTTGTTGCTCACCTACCAAATAGTACACATATTTAGTTTCTACATATAACTGAATGGAGCCATTGAATGATCTCAGTTTCATTATGAATTTGATCTTTATCTCAATAAATAAATAATATTTCGTCCTCAACATTTGTATTTGCTTCAGGTCGACAAGGAAGCAACATAACATAGCTTGTGGGTTTTTCCTCCCTTAAAAAGACAATGTAAGATCATTTGTATTCTATGCGAAATTCGAATAGGCTTTTATCATATTATGTATTAACTATGTATGTTTTGCAATCATCCTCTCAGGTCTAAGGCCGGAGGATATTTTTAGTTTTTTTAATAGAAACCAAAATGCTGGTGCAAAGTTTCATTGAGAGGCTTAGACCTCTGGTCGGACTCAAATGTTGGGATTATATTGTCTTATGGAAGTTGAGCAATGATCACAGGTTATATTCCATTCAAACAAAGCTTAAGGCTGATTTTTCGTAATATTAAACCATTAGATATCGTTAATGTGACATAACAACAGTCAAATATGTATTTTGATTGGTTAATCTGCAGATGTATTGAGTGGATGGAGTGTTGTTGTGCCGGAAGTGAGAATATCGAAAGTGTTGGGGACGATCTTGTCAATTTCGAAGGTTCGAGTAGCCTTCAATGTAGAGATATCATTTTCCCACATCAAAGGATCAAAGCTTGTGATTTACTAGACCAGCTTCCTTCTTCCATCATACTCGATTCAGGGTAACTAAAACATATTGACACCAAATTCTCCAAGAAAAGTATACGTTTTTAGCTTTCTAATTCAACACGGTGTTGTTTTTTGTATATTTGTAGAGTTCATGCACAGTCCATGCTGTCGAACCAAGCAAGTTGGCTCAACTACTCACACAACTCGGACGCAAGTTTTACCGAAGTGCGAAAACAAAAAAAAAAGAAAAAAGAAGAAGTTGCATTTGTGTACATGCTAATGAAAACTTTCCTAATTTATGCCTGATTTTAATTGCTTTGTTTGAGATGCAGGAAACAATCGGCACCCGGGTTCTGATCCCGTTGCCTCTCGGTTTAGTCGACCTGTTTGTGATGAAACAAGTAGGTCCTTGTAATTTTTCTCTTTTTCTCCTTCGTCTTACTTATTACATCACAATGCATTAATTTTCGTCGGTCTTCGTTTTTCAGATCGCGGAAGATGAAAAGGTGGTGGATTTCATCACATCCCAATGCAACTTGTTTTTGGAGCAACAAATGATGGATTCCTTTTCGGCTCACACAAACGACCCCTTGGCGGCCCTCTTCGGGAACAACCCTCGAGACGACAGAATCAATCTGGAAAACATCTTTCCGGATTACGGGCTTCAAGAGTTGGAGACGCCACATGGAAATAATAATAATAGTAATAATAGTGTGTGGATTGCAGAGGATCACGTGAACGAGGACTCGAACAACAGATCGGAGGATTCAGAGGCGGATGAGGAGAACGAGACAAAGTGTAGGAGGCGTAATGGGAAAGGTCCCCAGTCGAAGAATCTCATGGCTGAAAGAAAGAGGAGGAAGAAGCTCAACGACCGATTGTATTCCCTACGATCTTTGGTTCCAAAGATCTCAAAGGTGAGAATGGAACTTCACTTGACGCTTTCAAATCTTCTATCGCAAAATTGCATAATGTCAGATTTCCGTTTTTAACGGAACCGTCATTCATGTATCGATTTGCAAAAATGTTAAAGGTGGTGTATTACTTTGCAAAGTTTCAAAGGTGGTGATTAAACTGCAAAAACATGAAAAGTGTGTATTAATATGCAAGTTTACCAGTCTTCTTCTATTTATTACTAGTTTATTCTATTATACTCTCCTTTATTATATATGTTGTGCAGTTTTGCTATGGAGCCATTCACACTTATTCACCAATAGTGTATTGACGCGTGTCCTGCAATAAATACACTTTGGACATGTGTTAATACATTAAGTGGCGGAGGGCTCCGTAAAAAAAACTATCTGATGGCTCCATAGAATTTTTGATATGCAATTGTGAATATTGGTATTAATGTTGTTTCTGTATTGTTGTAGTTGGATAGAGCATCGATTCTTGGAGATGCGATTGATTATGTGAATGAGTTGAAGCAACATGTGGAGGAGCTACAAATTGAGCTCGAACAGCATTCGGAGAATGAGGAGGACATGAGGAAAGCAAGGAAAGACGAGGCCAATACTATGCATCATCAAAATGGAGGGAAGCGCGACAAGGGAAATTTCATGCATGGCTTTCACAACAACACTGTTGATAACGTCTCCAGGAATATCAACCACGAGCCGCGTAATAACGCAAATGAAAGAGTTCAGCAAATGGAGGTCAGAGAACATGATTCTAAACATTAGTATACTAATTTTAGTCCAAAAATTTGGGTAGTTGATCAAATTGGACCATTTATTTATTTATTTATTACTATTGTTTTTAAATCAAGTGGACCAAAATCCTACAAATTCTTAATTAGGACTTATTGATTGATGTCCATATATCAATATCAAGTTGATAAGGGAAGATGGACGTCGCCAAAAGGTTATTCNATGATGTTAAAAAAACACCACACCTTCTGGTTTCGAATTGCAGTTAGATCAAAATTTGATGTCTTTATTTGCTAATTCTTATAAAAATAAGTTTTGGTTGAAAAAAAAATAATTAAAAAAAATCATGATTATATTTGCAATTAACCTAATAACATAGCAGCTCTGTCATCAAATAGACACGTCACGTTGGACACTTTTTGATGTCTTTATTTGCTATTCTTTTATATATATATATATATATAGAGAGAGAGAGAGAGAGGTTTTGGTTGCAAAAATAATTATGATTTTATTTACAATTAACCTAATAACATGGCATCTCAATCATCAAATGAACATGTCATGTCCTCTTAAGTTGTTGGGCACGTTGGTAAGAAAGTGATCTCTGGTTGACTAGGTTCATGTTGCAACAATGATATAAATTCTTGATTATTTTAGAATTACTCACAAGTTTAGTTTAAATTGCAATAGGGTTAAATAATATTGTTAAAATCATAAGAGGTAAAAAAAAAAAGAGAGCAATTTTTGGCTGTTCCAATAAACAGTTTCTCCTGCTTAATCAGTTTTTGGCTCTTAGCGCCATGAACAAGATAAAACTGCTTCCTTCAAACTTTACTTTGTATTACTATACTAAACAAGAAAATGGAAAAGAATTTCAGCCACAAGTTGAAGTGTTCCAAATCCATGGGAACGAGTTCTTCGTGAAAGTATTTTGTGAGTACAAAGCGGGTGGATTTGTGAGGCTGATGGAGGCACTAAATTCTTTGGGTTTGGAAGTAACTAATGTCAATACCACAAGGCACACGTGTCTCGTATCCACCATCTTCAAAGTCGAGGTAATTAATTAATTAATATTTATTCATTTATTCTGGTTTCATCTTCTACATAAATTTAATTAGAAAATAAGGATTAGTCTCTAAATCAATTTCTACTAATCAAAATTGAGATCTATTTCTTGAATCTGCTTTAACCTAACTCGAGCTGTGGTAAAGAGCCGAGGCCAAATGTTCTTCTAATTGATTATATATTGATTAAGATATTTTGTTTAATTTAAGTATATACAGTTTTTGATTAAGTAGTTTAATGTGATATAGCGAAAGAACGAGGAGATGGTGGAAGCTGATGATGTGAAGGAGTCATTACTGGAGCTTACTCGAGACTCGAATAACTGCAGAACCAATTTCCACGTATCAAACAATATCAACATTGATGACGATGCTACTGATTATTGCATTTATGGTCGCCAAATCAGTTCTCACCACTTGCAACATTGATAAATGAAAAAAAAAAAAAAAATGTTTTTAGTTTAATGTTTCGAGTAATGGACTCTCTCACACGCACACGATTACACATAAATAAATGATTTCTATTTTCGTGTATTAATAATTGTTTCGAATAAGAAGTGAGTTTCACGGGTTGGACCAAAAAAGCTCGTCGCCGCCCACCCAATGATTTCAAATAGTGGTAATACTACAGTATAACCATAAGGAAAAGAGAAAATGAAATTTGACCACTTTTTAGTCTTTTCAAAATAATGAAATCTAGTCATTCTGACTTGTGAAGATATCATTGTACCGGGTGATTTATTTAATTAAGGACAAAAATCAAAGGCACGAATTCTTGAAATGCGTTTTCTAATAAAATTTTATTAGTTCAAATAATTTTGTAAAATTAAAAAAAAAAATTATTTTCCATTTTGAAAAAGAAATACAATTAAAATTAGTAACTATAAAACGTATTCCAAGAATACGTTTCTGGTACGTATTCCTAGAATACCGTTTACAATTAAATAAATATAAAACGCATTCTGAGAATACGTTTTACAATCAAATATAAAAAAAGAAGACTCTTCTTCTCCCTCACTTACGCGATAACAGAGAGCGAGCAGAAAAAAAAAATTGAGCAATTTTGAAGAGAGCTTCGGGGAAAAAAAAACGCGATCCAATCCCTATCCGACGCGAATCGACAACAACGACACGAGCCTCGTTTCTGATTAATTCATTCGCACAAGGTACATTGACTTATCTCAACTTTTTAAATTGTTTGGAGTTGTTTGGAAATTGGAAATTGTTATAGTATGTTTGAATGTGGTGGTGTTTGAAGATTAGTAATTGTTAATTGTTTATCGATTATGTGTGTTGAATTGGAGATTGGAATTTTGTTGTAAATTGTCAATTGTGTATTGGTTGGTTGTTGTTTGGCTTAGGGTTTTCGAAATTAGGGATAGATTTAGGGATTTCAATTTATTCGAAATATAGATGAATGATATGTTATTGTTGGATTATGGGTATTAGGGTTTTGGAGGATTATTTGATTGGAAATATTTATTTTGGTTTTTTCGTTGGAGTAAAAAAAATTGTTTTTCAATTTAGAATGGTAAAAGAATAATTGAATTTTTTGGGTGTTGGATTAGACATTATGTGTTGTTGTAATTTGGAAGAATTGAAAGTGTTTTTTTGCAATAGGTATAAATGGCGTATTCCGGTCCATACCTTGTTAATTTGTACTGGCATTTTGCGAAGGAAATGTTAAGTGAACTTGTTTTATTTAAAGATCGTCCAGATGGTTCTTTTCTTATTCCGGAGAGGATATCATATCAACAATTGGTAGAAATGATTAATGAAAATTGTTGGTTTGGAGAAGGTTGGACAATGAATGAGACTACTTTGATAGTTATCCAACTCGGTGGTTCGTTGAATTTCTTAAGACTCAATAACGATAGTGTTCTTCAGTATATTTATTACCTTCCTCCTATGTCCATGGTGTATTTGCATTTATCGTTGGAGGCAATTACACCGGTTACACAGGTTGAGGATGTGTGGGGATGTTACTGTTGGGTTCGCTATACTGTACGGATTAAAATCGCAGCAGAAATTATACAATATAATTATCATTTATCAAATAAATACTTAATCCGTAAGTACATATAGCAAATAAAATGATCGACATCTTTTAAAATCACGTAAAAATACGAATTTTGATTTGTAGAGAATTTAAAAAATTACCTTTAATTTTCTTCAAATAGCGACGATGAAGAGGAAATCAATTCCCGGTTATGTGGCTATCACCGTTGTTGTCAATATTTTTACCGGAGTAGAATCAAAAGATTCGAACACCGGGTCGTGTCTCTCGAGGAAGGTTAGCCGGATTATTATGCACGTTTATTCAACCACACAAAAGAAAATAAAATTCCTAAACATTCTAATTCAGATGATTTGGTTTGATTATTAACTACGAAAAAGAACTTCCAATAAAGCAAATAGAAATAGCAAGCAACGACGAAGAACAAGTAGGATTTAAGGAGCTAGGGAGTCGGGGAGATCCAATTTGGTTCGAATTGCAATTAATGGGCAAATGATTGTTCAGTTAAGTGATTTGAATAATCGACACATTCAAGAAACCATTCTCAATAACTTTTCGTAACAAGAGAACAAACTAGAACGGCAAATTAACAATTCATTTAACTCCTAGACAATACAGTTACGAACAAGCCTGGTTCATACGAGCCTATTTCGACCGACCCCTCCCCTTTTGGTTCTAAGAGTCGATTAAAGTAGACTAGAAGGTGTTTAATCAACTAGTCCGTTTAGAATAACCAACATCAAGCAAGAATATATCGAACTCAATTGCAAACAATTGGGGGTTGAAGTGTCACGCTTCAACAATTCTAAATACTCGAGCCCGACAATTGAAAAACCCTAGAAAAAGATTAACTCGTATGAAACTGAACAATCCTGAGCCCGACAATCACAAACGATATCAAAACATCAATCCCCTATCCCTAGCATATGAATTTAGCTACTCATGATCGATTCAGCACAAACAATCTCACAAATCAAGACAAACATATTCATGGATTAGAAGAATAGAAGATCTTACGATTAAACCAAAATTGAGAGTTGAATCTGATAAACAAGATTAATCCAAAAGTAGTAGCAAAATCCGAGTGCAAATCCGTGTTCAACGATGAAAAATATGAAGAGAGCGATGAAAAACCAGTGAAAAGAATGAGAGATAGGTTTTTGTTTGTTCGTCAAAATGAGAGAGATCCCTATGCGATCCCGATCCCACATATATATATGCGAGAGGACCGCGGCGTGAATGGCTTGTGCGCAGCGTGAAGGATCCTTGTGCAGCGGCGCAGAGACTGGCACGGGCGTGGCGAGGTGGCCTGGGCATGAAGGTGTCGCGGCGTGAAGATCTCTCGCGGCATGAAGCGCATGTGTGTCGCGGCGCGACGAAGCAGCGCGGCACGGAGGGATCGTGCATCGTGGCGCAGGGAGCTCGCGGCATGGCAGGTGGATCGGCTGGGAGTCTCTGTCCGCCCGTGACGTGCATCGCGGCGCGGCGGGCTGGCGCGGCAACCTGGGCCTGGGGATGCTCGGGCCTAGTCGTATCACCTTGCATTTTGTGTTCGTTCGAGCTCGTTTGGAACCCGAATTCGATTTCGTTTTCTCCTGTGTATTGCCAACGAAAAGCTCTACTCAGCTAAGTTCTCTCGGTCCATTATCATAAAAAATAAATCCTCCCGAGCCTTCCATCCTGTACACCAAAGACGAGAAAACCGGAAAAAATCCCAAGAAACACATAGAAAACTAAAATGAAACAAGACGCGCAATAAACTATAAAAGCGAATAAAAACTAACGAAAAGACCTAAAACGGGGGAAAAAGAAATGAAAAATAAGAAGAAAAAACGTAACAAAAATGGGACAAACAACCGTCTTCTTACATCTTAAGGGATCCAAGTGTCTCCCCTCTAATCGAGTCCACCCATTTGGATTCCGCCTCCGAGAACAATTTCTTCACTAGTAGAAATTTCTTGGAATTGAATTGGTATAGGAATCAAAATTGAAAGAGGAGAATTTTATTTTTATTTATTTTTCCGCATAAAAACCGTGAGCATCTCATGCTCTCTTTTAAAACTTATTGGGAGAACTTAACATATATATCATATATATATATGCCAAATAGTTGGGTTTAGTGGGAATGTGAGATGACTAATAGTCCCACTTTCAACTACTTTAATTTCTTATTTCTTGTGGTATCTCACACGATACCGTATTCATGCCAAATATATTGGTGTTAGGTTGAGTAGTTAACAACCTCACCTAACATAATATATGTTATTATTATTTTATTTTAGTCCCGTAGTACGTGTAGTGCCGACTCGCTATGGCCACAAAAACTCTTCTAGGGATAGTAAGAGCTCCAACCATTGACGTGGTGCTATCCTCAATAAGATGTGCCCTCACTGCAGACGCTGACCCTAAAGGGTAGCGCTTGTCCGATTGAGTGCCCCTATCTACCTTCATCTTCTGGTCTGGGACTTTCATCTAATCAAAAAAACTTGATTAAAGATTAAGTACAGATATTGACCCATAATTTATGAAACCAACTTTCAAAATTAATTGGTCAAAATCTTATCTCTCATTTAAAATAAAATCTCCTCTTTTATGTAGGCTTTTAATATATAATCATATTAATATTTGGATTTGAAATTTTAAAGTCCAACTTTAAAATTCAATTATTAATTTAGTAATTCCAATAATTACTTAATTAATATCCAAAGCTTACTTAATCAATCTAATTGATTAATTTATTTTATTCCTTTAATTGACATCTAATAAAAATTAAATTTAATTAAATAATCAAATTATTTAACTAAGTCTTATCAATTAATCCAACTATTGGAAATACCAATTTCAAAATTGTCATCATCCAAAATTTGGTGTGACCCTTTTAGGTTCACAATTAACACTAGTAGTGAGTTTACAACTCGTTTGTAATTTAAATTAATCTAATTAATTTATATTCTTGAAATTAACTCTTTAATTTCAAGAACCCACAAATCATGGTAACACCTAGCAAGTAGCATGATTATCTAGTGTTAAGTGAAATAGCGAGTAAACCTTTTCCATTGCAAGTGCATACATGTAAAATCCTTTCGACAACTAATTTCCCGATTAAATCTTGGGCATGGATTTATAAGTCGAAACCCAATTGATTTAATAACTATGATTCCATTTCAAGTTTAGTGATTCCTTTATGAATCCATATTCATCCTGCCTTGAGCAAGGTCTTTGAATCACAAACTATGAAAAACATAGGAAATTCACTTATCCACATAAGTGTCGAATTCTTTGTTGGCCACAGATAAACCTCGATACATATTAATACAGTACCCAAAATATCCCTTTTATGATTGTCCAACAATCAAAGGATAAATCATAGTAAAACACAATATGCACAAGATTACTATCGTGCCTCAAGTCAGAGAATTAATCATGTACTATTG